TTCATGCATCCACAACTTCATGCTGACGCATCGAGGCCTGATGCGTCACGACATCGAGGCATCAACGCATCAAGGCGTTAGTGCATGAACACATACATGCATCAAAACAGCCATCCACTCCCCCTCTCTTTCTTCTCCTCGTCTCGCCACCTTATCCTCTTCCTCCTCCTCCTTGGGCACGCTCGACCTCCTCCATTCATTGTCCTTTAATTCCGTCCTGTCGCACCCTGGAACTGGTCGAAAGGGCGGGCTGGGTGTTTCGCCTGCGATTCCCTCACAACGTACGGTCCTGAAACTTGGATTGTGCAGCAGCTTCACGGATTGAGGGCAGCCCGCTTTCAAAATGTGGCTGTCGCTTAACCGCCGCGCGCATTCGTTGTTAGTGCTTGCGAGAGCTTCACGGATGGAGGGCGGTCCGTATTCAAAATGTGGCTCTTGCCGTAGCGCCAACACTCGTTTTAAAGTTTGAAGCAGTTTCGCGGATAGAGGGTGGTTCCTTTTCCAAATGTGGCTCTCGCCGTAACGCCGCGCACATTCGTCTTACAACTTTGCAGAAACTTCACGGATATAGGGCGGTTCCTTTTCAAACTGTGGCTGTCGCTGTAGCGCCGTGCGCATTCGCCTTGACAGTTTGTAGGAGTTTCACGGATGCAGGGTGGTTCATTTTCAAAAACAATTCGCCTTAGCGCCGCGCAGATTCGTTTTCAGAGCTTGCATCGGCTTCAAGGATTATCATCGCTAAGGTCCCAGACATGGTGTTTTGGTACGACGTCGGAATGTCAGGGCGCAACAGTCACGTTGATTCGCGGTGTTGAAATCCCATGAATGGCGTTCTGGTGCAATTCTGAGTGGGGGAGCCTATAAATAGGGAGTTTGGAGAGTTTATTGTAATATCGTTGATGAGTCTTGGGTTTACGCTGATCCTCCTCCTCCTCCTCCTCCTCCTCCTCCCTCCTCTCCTCACCCGCACCGCACACACGTCAGCGGGCGGTGGTGGCGCACCGGCGGTAAATCGAGCCTGTTTCCCTCCTCCCCCCCTCCGAACCGAACCAGTCCCACGGGGGATTAGATGCGGGACTGAGAGGCACCACAGCACCACACCACCGGGGGTGGGGGAGACCCATCGGTGAGGGTGGAACCCATTACCCATCGGTCAATTAAAGTAGGTGCTCTGGGATTCCCAGATCCCAATCTACTTTAGCCGCCTTCCTACTTCAAGAGTGTACCGGTTGTCCCTCCTCCCTCTTCAGGGGGCGTGCGGAACCCCAATCTTCTCCAGCGCTTCCCAAAGTCAAGCTGCTACCCATCACTTCCTCCTACCGACGGGCACACCGGGGGGGGGGACCCATCGGTGGGGGAGGAGCCCACTGCAGACGGCCCCTCCGCTTCACAAGGACGAGCAGCTTGCCACGGGCCCCCTCGCACCCTCTGGACCCTCGGCCCGTCCTGGCCCTCGGTCGCGGGCCGTGGGCTCCGGCTTGGGCGTCCAGGGGGCCCTGGCACGGTGACCGCGCGTCCTTGTGATCCGGTCGCGCTGCAGCATGGTGGGGAGCAGAATGAGAAGTCAGGCGGGGCTGGGACCGCGACAACTCGCTCCAGAGCGCTCCCAGAGCGCTCCGAAGCGCTCTGGGACGGCCCCGCGGCCTCCGACACAGGTTCCAGGAACGCCAGATCTCAGAGACCCCCGACCTGTCCGGGCCCGATGTTGTCTCGGTCTTGACCTCATCTTAGTAGGGGGGGCTTGGGCCCAGGTTCTCCATTGCACGATCTCTCTCTGGCTCCGTTCAGGAGCGTCTGTCTTCCAGCTCTCCATTGCAGTCACCCGTGATCACATGGGCCCAATGATGCACGCCAACGATTCTCACAGCTGCAGCCGTGGCAGCCGCGGAGACGCGTTGCAAGACCAGCTCCCAAAGAGTCCGCGTCAATCGGACCCCGGATCACCTTAGCTGCCCTGATACGCTCGCTTCAAGACGCAACACGCACCGTCTTCAGAACGTCCGTTCCGTGTCGACACGCCGCGTGCCGGCACTTGTCGGCCCACACTCTGGCGAACGCGCCGCGCCGCGCCAGACCCACGCTTCCAGTCCGCGTGCTGAGCTCTGTGGCACCACGCTACTAGCTGCCTATTGCGTAGGGGCGGCTAAGCCGAGGTCACAGATGAGCGACGCAGGAGAAGCGGGGTCGTCTGCGCCGACATTGGCGCGTAAGCGGCCCGCGGAAGATCGCGCGTCAGCGCTCTCGTCTCCGATTCAGCGTGCGGCCCTGGCGGCCCGAGTAAGCCGCCGCGCGAGGCCGCTATGCCGTCTCGCCCAAGACCCGTTGTCGATCATCGCTCCGAGGGCTGCTAGTTGAGCATGCAGGCCGCCACCACAGATTGGCGCCGCGGCAGACGCAGGACATGCTGGCTGTTAGAGCTTGGGGCAGAGAGGCGCAAGGAAGCGGGGCTGGAACCAGATCTTTACTACGAGCGGCAGTCGGTGCCCAATGCTCCCTGCGCGTCCCCGTGCCAGTGGCCGCACTCTGGCTTAACCCGGCTAGTCCTGCTTAGTCCCGGGCTCAATCTGGCCTCATCTGGTGCAGTGGCCCTCTGATCGGGCTCGCTCGCCCTTCCTCCATCGTTCCAGCGGAGACCTCCCTGGAGCCGCCTCTCCTGAGACATCTCGCCTGAGACCCGTGTTCGATCACCCCTCAGATGCTCCCTGCGCATCCCCGGGCCGGTGGCCGCACTCCCCCCCCGCGCCCACGCCGCGCGCCCTCCCGCGCGGCGCCGCCGCGCCCGGCGGCCGCCGCGGCGGCTCGCGCCACCGCGCGGCGGCGGCCGCCGCGGGCGCGGGCGCCGCGGCGGCGCTGTGGCGCGGCGGCGGCGGCCGCCGCGGGCGCGGGGCACGGCGGCGCGCCTTCCCGCTGCCGCGGTCGGCGGAGGTTCGGGGCGGCCGCAAGTCTGGGCTTCCGTATCGTTTCTCCGAGCCCCATGCCCATCCCCCTCCCCTTCGAGACCCCCGCCAAATTGCCACCCCAGTCGGGGAGACACCCCTTGAGACCCGAAGGGAACGGCCCATATCCCCATCTACGGGGGGCAAATCGGCCAGTGGGGCCCAGGCCCAGGCCACGCCGCTGGGGATGGGGACCGGTTGAACGAGACTCATAGGTGGGGTCCGAGCACAAGGTTTTTCGCGATCCTCGGCCCCTGGGGGGCCTTGCTGGGCTTCGGGGCCGTCAAACAGTTGCTCAGGCGGGGAATGGGTCGGGACCTCTGGGATCGAGAGATCGCGCCGCATCGTCGATGCATCGGCGATGCGGCTCGACGCGGAGCCCGATTTGCTCCGTGCCGACGTCGCCGATGCGTCCCCGACGTCGCCGATGCACCGCCGATGCATTCGCGAGGCGCGGCCATCCTCCGATCCCATCTAGGAGGCTTCTAGCCTTAAGTCGGGCCTGTCCCCCTACAGGGGGATTTTCGACGACAAATAAAAAATACCCCCAAAATAGTCAAAACATAGTCCAAAAATAGTCTGGGAATTATTTTTGGACTATTTCCGGGCCTTTCTGTTTTTTTTTCTCGTCGAAAATCTCCCTGTAGGGGGACACGCCCGATATAATTCTACGGGTCGACCGAAATGGTATGGAAACAATGGGTGCAAAGACCGACAGCAGTGCCTATGTTTCCTTTGGGGCAGGACTCGCTGTCGGTGTCGCCGCGGGCGTTGTCCATCTGGGACAGGACGCGCCCCGACCAACAGCGGCCGCTGTGGGGCATCGTGCTCATCGCTTCCGTACCCGTATTGCGGGCGTCCGCGGAGGTGGGCGCGGGCCGCTGGGGCCGCTTGCGCCTCTTCCTGGACACGGCGGAGGATCCGTGGGGTCGGAAGCTGCACCCATGGTGCTACCATCGGGAACGCTGAGTATGCAGCGAAGGGGCTTTTCTGGCCACGGCGAGCCTCGGCTTTGGACAGGCTCCCCGACCTTGCTCTGAGGAAGGGCCCCCAAACAAGAGCCCCTCCTGAGCCCGAAGAGGTTCTTATTTCAGCGCCTTTCGGCGGCGAGCGAGGGGGGGAAGTGAGAAGGGGCGGGCCTTCTCAGAAGGCTCGGAAGTCCCCGGGCCTTCTGAGCAGTTTTCTAAGCCTTCTCAGAGGACACTAACAGCTTCTCAGAAGGCGCGAGGGATTCTGAGAAGTCCCGCCGCCTTCTGAGAAGGCCTTCCTCGCTCGCCGCCGATGCTTGGCTGTAGGTCGTTGGTCACCCGCGGGGGCGCGAAGACGATTCGCGCTTCCCGCGTCGCGGCCTGGCTGTGAGTCCGCCGCCCTTCTCAAGGGCGGCCGCGCGTGGGCACGAGGGCGTGAAGATGGCTGCCCGCCGCGCACTGCTCGGCGAGCTGCGCGCGGTTGGGTGACCTGCAGGACCCGTCAACAAAAAGGTTGACGGTTTGGGCTTTCGGTGCTTGTGTGGTCGACGCTACTGCAACCCTGGCATGAGGTGTTCGGCCCAGACGCAGGGGTGTCCGAAATCGGGCCGTACCCTCACAGCATCGAAGAGAGCGGTTTCTGACGAGTGCCCGAACTATCGAGCGCTTCGATTTTGTACAGCGTCTCAATGTATGTTTGACGAGGCTTGTAGGGACCGGGGGGCGAATACCGGCAGCAGTTCCAGTCCATTCTGACCAGGGTGCGCTGACGGCACCGCCGCGGGCGGCCGCCTGCCCAACAGCGGCCGCTGTCGGTTTGGACACCATGCGCTGCTGGGCATCGCACCCGCTGTTTGCACACCCATCTCGGGCGTGCCCACGAAGGAGTCGGAGTGGGAGCACTACTTGCCACTGGGCTTCTTCCAGGCCGAAGGAGACAGATGGGCACCAGGATACACTCTCGGAGGCCCCCGCGGGCTTGCCGGACCGGCGCTGGGCCCCCCTTGCATGGTGCGTTCAGCGCGGCCCTGGGCGGCACCGGAGGCGCCGCCAGGGGGTCCAGCGCCGATGCAAGAACCCCGCGCGGACCCCCGAGAGCCCATGCTCCTGCCGATGTCTCTTCTTCTGTCCATGGCGTCACGACGAATCCGGTCCTGCTGCAGAGGGCGGGCGTGCCGTGCTCGGTGGCGGCCCTGGCCAAGATGCGGACCAAGGCGCTCGCGTACCCGGGCGTCCGGGAGGTGATGTTCCAGGCCTGGGGAGACAGCGCGGACGCGCTGGTGAGCGTCGCTGGCCAGCTGCTCGAGCTGGACAGCCTTGCCCTCGAGGCGATCGAGGCGAAGGGCGAGTCCGCCCCGCTCTTCTCCGGCTCGGTCGTGGTGAAGCTCCCCTTGACGCGGGACGGCATGCAGGCCGCGGCGCGGCTGCGCAGGCGGCACCCCCAGGATAGCGTTTTTCTTTATTCCCTGGCGATCACGGGCGTAACTGGGGGTGGGGGGGCGGGCATGTCACGATTCGCGCCAGCGCTGTCTGGGAATGTATGGGAATGGCCAGTTCCCAAACGGCGCCGGCGCGAATCGTGACCTGACGCGGGGGGGGGGCTGCGGGCTGGCCTCGGGCGCTATCGCGAATAATGTGTGTATATGTACATATATATATGTATACAAAGCTCTAGGCGAGGGTGTGCATGACCACCTGCTACTCCGCGCAGCAGGCCCTGGTCGCCTCGGGCCTGGGGGCGGAGTACATCGCCCCCTACCTGGGGCGCATGAGCGACCTGGGCATGGACGGCATCGAGGAGTGCGCGCGGATGCACGCCGCGCTCGGTGGGCCCCCCGCGCCCGCGACGCGGGTGCTCGTTGCGTCCATCCGCTCCGTGGACCAGATGATGGCCCTCGCCTGCCGAGGCCTCGACACCTTCATCGAGGATGCAACAGTGGCCTCGACAGGCACTTCCAGAAGGGGGGCGCGGACTTCTTGCATCGGCGCTGGACCCCCTCCCTGGCGCGCGGGCGGGGCGCGCCGGGGGGCTCCGGCGCCGATCCGAGAAATTCGCGCGGGCCCCTGGAAGTATCATGTTTGTGCCACCGTTTGCTCCCCGACGTCACGTTCTCGCCCGCCGTGGCCCAGGAGCTGCTGGGCGTGGCGGCCACCGAGGGCGCCGCGGCGGAGTTCGAGCGCGCCGCGCAGGCGGGGCGACCCGATGCCCCGCGCCCCGAGGGCGGCGCCTGACGAGGGCCCGGGGAGCAAGGCCGGCACAAGCTCGGAGGGGCAGGGAGGCGTGATGACGATGGTTGCGCACGGCGGTGCCCGACGAGGGCCCGGGGAGCAATGTCGGCACACACTCGGGGGGGCATGGAGGCGTGGTGGCGGTACGCAGGAGAGGATAAAAGGCAGCCAGACCCCGACCACTGGCGCTTGCTCAGCGGCCCTGGGCGTTCACTGAGCAGCCGCGCTCTGCTCGGTTCCTTCCCAGGGCGCGCTTGCGAAGCGGCTTCGCTCGTCGGGGTGCTCGTTCTCGGGGTGGATGTTCTGCCCTCCAGGTACCTCTGCGACGACCCTTCGGGTGACAAGGAGTACGGGGGGTGGGTGTGTGTGAAAGAGCCAGCTGCTGGCAAATGCGATGGGTATGATGATGGCGATGCCGGTGACGCGCTCTCGAGTCAGCGACGACGCGTGATGATGATGATGATGATGATGATGATGATGATGATGATGATGATGATGATGGTGGTGGTGGTGGTGGTGGTGGTGATGATGATGGTGGTGGTGATGATGATGAGTGATGATGATGATGATGATGATGATGATGAAGATGATGATGATGATGATGATGATGATGATGATGATGATGATGATGATGATGATGATGATGATGAAGAAGATGATGATGATGATGATGATGATGATGATGATGATGATGATGATGATGATGATGATGATGATGGTGATGATGGTGATGATGATGCTGCGCTGCGGTGTAATGTCGGAGGGGCAAGGGATCATGATAACGATACGTTTGCAGATGCTGAGGGTTTCGTATATTCGAAGGATCTCAGGTTGCTGTTTAGTCGGGCTTTCGCCGACTTGGGGCTTTATTGGAGGCCCCCATTGGGGCCTTGCAGGGTCCTCTCGGGCCGTGTTTGGGCCCTCTTGGGCGGTTTTGGGGCCCTCTGGGGCCGTCTATGGATCGTCTAGGGCAATCTAGAGGCGATTTTTGAGGCCTCATGGCCATCTTGCTGCGATCTCGCAGGCCGTCAGAGCCGTCTTGGGCCGCTCATTGTCCGAAAAGGCCAGAACCCCAAAATCTTTCAAACACTTACGGAACATCAATGCTTTTTGCCTCCTCAAGCCCTCTCGGGGGTCCTCTTGGGGGCGTTTTGGGGCGTCTGGGGAAGCCTCGCCAGCTGCTTTGAGGCCGTATTGGGCCGCCTCAGGGCCTCTTGGGCGCTCTTGGGCCTCTCTCGGGCTGCTTTTGAAGCGGTCTTGGGCCGTTCCGGTGCTCCGTCGGACCGTCCGGGAAGCGATTTTGGGCCCGCTCGGGCGGTGAGAGTGCCCAGGGCTGAATTTATGTAGGGATCTCTTGTGAACATAGTCGAAGAGGAATAGATCTCTCGATCGATCTATATCTATCTATCTATTTATCTATCTATCGATATATCTATGTATATACCTATCTCTATATATATATATATCTATCTGTCTATCGATCTATATATCTATACATCTGTTTATTATAACAATGTATATATATAGACATATCCATATATATATATATATATATATGTATGCTTACGTGTATCCGAACATATGCATATAAACGTATGTACTCACATGCATCTGTAGATGTGTATATATGTACACGCACCGTCAAACAATACTCATTGGAAGCAGTCCTGCAGAGAAAGCGACGCCCCCAGCGCCATCAAGCGCCCCCGCGAGCTGTCCAGCATAGCCGCCAGCCCAGCGCGCCACACCGGCCGGCCGGGCGCCAGAACGTCTGGGATGTTGGCGCTAGTTGCTGCAGGGAACGGGTTGATGTTTTCAGCGCCATTGGGGCTGTCGGCTACACGGTAGAGTTCAGTGGACGGAAACACACCGATATCGCTGCTCGTCCCAGAGAGCCCTCGTCCCCACGGCCTGACCTCTTCGGAATTTTAATCAGAATGTGCCCCAGGAGAGGCCCAGGGAGTAGCGGTACCAGTACCTGTCGGACGGGGCTAAGACGAGGATACATCCGTTCCAGAGCTTTTTGGAACGCTCTGAAATCCTTCCGGAACACTCTGAGAATGCCGAGCCGCAGGATCTCAGACATTCTCGATTCATCTTCACCCGATTTGATCCTCGTCCTTGTCTTGTTTGAACCTGTTCGTCCCACCAGGAGCGGCCCATGGCCAGAGTGACCTTTGATGTGGTTCCACAGGGGTCCCCCGATCGCCGAGTACGATGCGATGGCCGCGGCATGCGCGCTTGGGTCCAACCCCCTCGCCCCCCCCCCCGAAGCCACGAACCAAGGGTCCCGTCCTGCATGAGGCTATGCTAAGGTCTGTCTCACAAAACAGCTGCCCGGGGAATCCTACTTTCTGGGGGTTTTCGATCAAGGAGTTCTTGCGTGTTCGGTTCAAGCATTCTCTTGCGCCGCACGGGTGCGGTTGTTCCCGCGGCGGCCGCCACGCCGCCGAGGGCGGGCCCCTTGCCCAGGCCTGCCTTGGGAACGGATCGACCTCCCAAGGAGGCGCCGGGTAGGCGCCCGCAATGTCTGGCGCCTGGCGCCCAGCGGCGGCCAGCGAGATTCACTACAGGCTGGGAAAGGTTTTCTCCCAACGCCGCCACATGGTCCTGCCGCATAACAAGAGGATTCGTGCGAGCGATGGTTGCCCCATGTGCTACATTGGCCGAGCACACTCCACCTCGGATGTCCACACCCGCTGCCCCTGCTATGCTGTAGCGCAACAGTGCAGAATGTGGGCCAGTATGTGTGTTCAGTACACTCCGTCCTTTTTCGCGGCTTTGCGCCCACGACGTGTGTGAAATGTCAGTTCGCTGTCATACACATCGACACCACCCAGTGTGTCGTGAGAACATCCAGGGACCATAACGTTCCGAATATTTACGCCCACCACGTGTGTGAATGAATGATTCCTTCACTTTCCTGCACCATGTGACAAAAGACAATGTGTCTGGGAGCGCCCAGGCCCCCCACGACGACGACGCCGACGACGACCACCACGACGACGACGACGATGGTTTTGACGACGACGACGGCGACGACGACGACGTTGACGTGTGCTCTTGCCTGGGCGCCGGCCACTCCCTGATTCTCGCCCCATCGCTGGCTAGTGTCTCGGTCTTGCCGACCGCTCTCCCCAGGGCGGCGCTTCCCCTCTTCAGAGGGGGGCGTGCGTGGGGGAGACAATGCCACCCCCTCTGAGGGGACATCCCCCTGTCATCCCCAATGCACATTTTTGAAAAGGAGCCGACGAATTGCGAGGACGTCTCAGGCGAAACCAGGCCCAAACCAGGCGGAACTAAGGCGAAACCAAGGCGAAACCGAGCAGATTGCGAGGACGTCTCAGGCGAAACCAGGCCCAAACCAGGTCACACCAGTGAAATTGCGAGGACGTCTCAGGAGAATTCGGAAGATGTCTCAGGCGGAGGGCCCAAACGAGGCAGAATTTACGGACGTCCCAAGCAGAATCTCCCAAACCAGGCTCCATCCACTCTCCTCAATAAATTCTAATTGAAGGAGTGGATCATCCCAGGCCCCCCCCCGGCGCGAGCCCGTTTGGAATTTCAGGGGGGGGCGTTTGGACCACATGTCCGCCGGGGTTGGGCGCGGAAGGTTTCGTTTGCCCTTCGGTTGTTCCTGGGGCCCATGTGCGGCGTAAGGAGATTGTTTTCCGAGTCTGTCGTTAGTTTAGAAGTGAACGTGCGTTTTGCGCATAGACCGAAAAATATGGGGGGCCCCCGCGATCTCGGCTGTTGGCGGCCCGCGACCCCCTCGTGGCGGGGGGGCCGTGGGGAACGGGAGGGGGCGATGCCTTGATATCGATGGTTGCTCGCGGCCCACGGCCCGCTCGCGGCGACGGGGCGGCTGCGGGGGGCGACGGCCATCGCGTGAAAATCATGGGGACAGCATGGCGAATCGCGGGCCCCTCAGTTTAGGGCCCAGGGCCCAGATGGGGGGGCGTTCCCGCGCTCGGGATGGGGCGATAGAGGCAGGAATCAGCAGCGACGCGCGCAGCGTGCGCGAGCGATTTGTGTCCACGCGGACGTTCGCTCTGCTGCCCCATGCCCCGAGCCAACGCGGCGGCTTTCTGTTGCGGCACTCGGGGAAACATGTTCGCCCCGAAATCAAGTCGGTCAACGTTGCGGGTTCTCGTTGGCTTCCAGTTCAGCACAGCTGTTCCTGTATTGCTGGCATGAACGAAAAGCGCACGACAACGTCGATATCCAATCGGACACCGTTACGTGCCAAGCGTTACGCCTTAATCGTTAAGGAACCACTGTAGTTCCCAGGCCAATTTTGTTTTCTTCTATTTGGGTAATGCACGAGAAGCGCATGTTAGCTTGGGAATCCTATCGGCCACTTTTAAGGGTTTACGTTGGTTTCCAGACTCGCCTGGCTTTCAAATCAGTTACTACTCATCCGTATTCGATCACAATTCAGCACAAACCTCTCAACGCGAGCGCGCGCCACGTAGTGCGCGGCCTCTCAGCCTCCAGACCGAACCTCGCAATGCGTGGGCGACCCTCCATCGCCCGCGGCGGGTCGCCCGCACCTTGCCAGGACACCCGACATCCGTTCGGCCACTGCTGAGTGTGCGCTAAAGCTTCCAGACCCCATTCGACTCGTCGGAACGCGCGCGCAATTCAAACATGGATCGGGGGGGCGTGGATGAGCGCCGGGCTCCGTTTCCATGGGAGATCGCGGATTTCCGCCGCCGAGCGAGGCGGCACAGGTCGCATTTTGGGGAGGGCACCTCCCCCGATCCATGGATTTGGCGACCGCCCGCCAGATCCATGGATCGCTAATCCACGATTGCGTGCCCCCGAGCAATGCAGCCGCCGAGGGCCGCCATTCGATATGAATAGTCACATCGCGCGCCACTCTCGGTTGACTTTTAGCCATACTAGGCCCACCGCAAGGCAGTCGAGTGCCTCTTCAACGGTGTACCGTTGCAGAGAGGAAGTGAGGGATGTGCCCCCAAGAAATGGCCACAGTTTTGGGTCCGGGTCTTTCAAAACTCGCCATATCGAGAAAAGGGGCCCTGAGAGAAACGGGCCCTGTAGACCCCGGGGTTTTCCCCGGGACCCGATCTTCATGTTGAGTCGCTGTTTGACGGTCCCTTGGCCCAGGGCCCGTGGAGGGCCTCTTCCTGGCTTTGGATTTGCCGTACTTTCGGCGATGTTATAAGTAGGGTGGAAATTCTTGCCTTCTTTTTCAAGCGTCTTTGTTGTCGATTTCTGGCCTACTTTGCCGTCGCTGTTTCCGGCACATTTTTCCGGAAGTATCAGCCCTACCTTTCCGGGGCGGCAATTTACGCTGTAGTTTTTCGCATCATTTTGGGTGAATTTCCGGCACAAGTGCAAATCGGAAAATCAAGAAGCGTACAGCAAATCATCCAAAGTTTTGGACGGGCGCGAAGACGGCGAAGCAAGTCTAGGATCTTTTTCGTCCAAGACTCGTTTCCTTCACGCTCAGTCAGCGGCAGCGGCAGTGGCAGCAGTGTGAGCCATCGGCGGCGGCGGCGGGGCCGCCCCAGCCTTTGAAGGCCCACGCACCAGCCTGCTGAAAGGCGGGCGGGCCTTGTTTTTCGTGTCGCGCAGCGATCGGCAGCACAGGCTGAAGCCCGGAACGCTGGCGGCAGGATCGAGGAGGGGTCCAGGGCGGCCAAGAGGGGGATGACGATTTGCGGTGGGGGATATCGTGGCGGGGGCCACGATATCTCCCCAGATCTCATGGCACCCTTGTTCTTCAACACGTGCATTGGCCCCCCCCTGGGCCGCGCACATGTCTCGGGCCATGATCTGCGAATTCTCCTCTTTTGGACGCCTCCATGACAGACGGTCAGGCAAGTTGGTACGATTCGAGAATCCGAAGTCTCGAATCGCACCAAGGCGCCAGACTGTCGGTCCAGCCATGCCAGGGACCGTCAGCCCAGCCAGCCTGGGGAAAGTGGGTTTGGCGGCAGCTCGCGGGCGATGGGCGCAGCGTCGGGCGCCCAGAAATGTGTGCAGGGCCCTCCCGCAGACGTTGACGAGGGTCTCCGTTCGGGCATGTCAACCTCGCCTCGGGCGTCGATTTGGGTACGGATCGGCTACGGATCGTAGGCGGAGTCGTTAGGTTTTGGACGGTTCTGGGTGGTGGGATAATAGCGTGTTTGGCACGGAACTTGTCGCACCACTGTACCTGCAGGGCACGGGGCTGGCGCGACAGGGCAGGCGCCTTCTAGAACTTTATTCAGACGCTTCTTATCACAATTTCCTCAATCGGCATTTTCTAGAACTTTTTCGAGCTGCTCCTGCTAGAACTTTCCTCAGGCGCCTCCTTCTGGAACTTTGCTGGGCTGCTTCTCTCGGTTCCGACGTTTTGGCCGTCACACGTTCTGATCACTGGACCTCGCTGTCGCCGGCGCCGTCGTCGTCGCCGCCGCCGTCGCCACCGTTGGAGGCCCCACTGAGCCAAAAATTCGACGGCCCTGGCCCACTTGTGTGCAGCAGCCCCTCCCCCAACTCGCCAGCTGGGAGTTTTTGACCGTGCCGGGGCGAGCTCGCGCCCGTACTCCCTCTTGAGGTTCAGACCCCAGTCGTGCGTTGGCTCAGTCGAGGCGTCCAGTCCAGGCAAATCGCACCAGCCTTACCTGACTGTCTGCGTGGACGCCCCCGAAACTGGGGGTCCGGCCCTGGCGATCAAGAGGGCGACCGGGGTGGGGCAGAAGCCAAAGTTGAATAGCAACAGTACAGCATGCAGTCGAGTTTGATTCTTCCACCGTGACGATACTTTGGCCAACATTGAACTGTTCCCGTTCGGCCGCGGGCCCCAGGTACAATGCTGTCAGCGGAGGCCATGCTGAAAAGAGCACGTTTGGCGACGGAACCCAGTACAATGTTGCCAGGGTGCGTCTTGTTGCTTCTTGTGACGAAAGAATTTCCACGCAGTTTGGATTTCAGTTCAAGGAGTTTTGACGTCGTTCGGACACGTTTCGTCGAACAAACATTGGGCGGAATCGTCATGTCAACTTCGGGCTGAGGAGGTTCTTCATCAACTCGAAATCGATGTTTCGAGTAAGTTCCATGCGGAAGCCTTCAATTTTCGGGTTACCGAATAGCGTTGAATGCCCAACGGGTTGGCCGAGTCGAAGCGACGATTCCGCATGAGACCCCCTAGAAAAAACATTTCGACCGAAGTCGAAATTGTCGGGTTTGAAAACGTTCGAAGTCGAAAGCGCAGTTCCGCCCATCAGAGGCGCCGCCGGGAGGGGCAGGGGGAGAACGAGGTGGATGAGGAACCCTTGTCGCGCCTCTCGCGCCGTCTTCTCCTCCCCGGAGTGGCCCGGGTCACCGCGGGGCTTCTGAGGTGGTCGAGCTGGAGTGGGAAAGCGAGCTCGACATCTGCATCAAGGCTCCGCCCCGCCACTGCTACAACCTCTGGGCGCCGGAGGGACGCTTGTACCATGTACATGTACACGCACACATGTGTACAGATTTCCACACCTACGTACCTATATCATATATAAGTATGTGTGTATACACACGTTTATATACATGTATGTATGGGCGCACCCCAACCCAGATCTATCTCAGCGCCGGGCTTCGCCGACGTCCTTCTTCGTCTTTTCTTTTGTTGTCGATGCATGGGTAGACGTAGGCACCAAACGAGGAGGAGGAGGAGGAGA